AGCAGGAATTTTTTTTAGACCACTCGTCTGATCTGAACGTCACCTGAAGAGAAGCGCAGGAGCCTGACAGAGCAGCTGATGTAACCAGGGTGGACCTGGAGCGACCTGGACGCCCCGGCAGCTTGTAAGCTGTGAGGAACAAAGGAGGTAGCCTGGTGAAGTGCGTTCAGGCTGAGCTTCATGCTGCGTTTGCTGCAGAGGACACCACGCAGAAACAGTGCTTCCATGGGAGGCAGCAGGACCTTGCCTGGGCTGGCTCATCCCCAGCTGAGCCCCTCTGAGAAGCTCTTCCTGAGGATGGGAAGGGCCAAAAAAGAAAAATTACAGAAGGGTTCATTGCTTCCAGAGCAGCACAGAGACATCAATGGCCACACAGAAGGATTTTTGCTACTCACAACAGCTTTCTGGGCTGCTGTTCAGCGGCTTGGGGGAGAGGAGAGGTGCTCTGGAAACCAGGGTGAGCTGCAGGTCTTGGCACCTCTGGGTATCTTCAGACCCGGTCTCTGGATGACCTAACTCACCAACGGTGAGCCATGCATTCTTCTGGTGAGAGTCCAGCCGAGCCTGAAGCCCTTTGCCGGCGCGGAGGTGCGGGCTCCTGCCCGATCCAGCTGGGCTGCCCCCGGTGAGGAAGACCCACGGTGCGATGAAACCAGGGCTTGTCCCGAGACACCTGCAGAGGCAGCGGCCTCCAGACCGGGGTGGGTTTGTTTCGGTGTCTTTATTTAATTTTGTCCTTTTATGAATGACCGGTCTTGGAAGTTCTCCACAAATCTGAAACGTAGCTACCTAGAAATTGGTTTAAGCAAGAAGCTCCTGGCTCCCTCGGACAAACCCTGGGCGCTGCTTCCTCATCTACTTTTTTTCCCCCCATTTTTGTGTGTGTCTTCCCCTCCTTCTTTACTCAGTGAGAAACAAACAGAGGAAGCCGGGTATAAAGGGAAGCGCCAACTATTTTGCAAAGGTTTCCAGTTGACGAAATAAATAAGAACAAACAAAGGAAATACTTTTTTCCTCTATGCTTTTAGTTATTCTAGAAGCTGCTTGTAATGCTGGTTAAGTAAAAGCTACTACATCGTAGGTGTAATTTCACACCGGAGAGCGTCTCTTTGTATTCTGAATGTGCACGATCCATGGAAACACAGGTGATTTTTCATCAGATACGTGGCACGTTGCATGCTGAGCACCCAGACGCCGCACACTGCCAGCGGCGTAGCGGGAGGGAGGTGAATGCTGTGGGCACTGGGTTCACTTTAGGGACCTCTCCCCACCACCCTGAGCCCTCGCAGACATCTCTGCGTGGTTTGCGCAAATACTGAGTGTCATTTTGATGGTCTGAGCGGGATCCAGCTTGTGCCTTGCTCTTGCGGCATGCGGGGTCCTTTTCTATGGACGGCGTTAAAGTCAGAAGATGAGTATTCTGGAGTTGTACAATTGCTTGCTCTTTTTCCTCTTTTTTTTTTTTTTTCCCTGCGCTTCTCTCTCGCACCAGAGATTTATCCTTTGACCACAAATATTTTTTTAAGGTGAAACTTTGTATAAAATGTATCAGTTCCCAGACAAACGAGCCTACCAGGTGCCTAAAGGTCACGTAAAATGCCGGATGAATGTGGAAACGAACTGACTAGCGTTATTAATAAGCAATATTTAACAAAACCAAGAGAGTCATTTTAAACAGCGGAATGCTGGCTTTCCCCTGAAAGCCTTCATTTAGAATAGCTTAAATTCTGTGACATTTGCATACGCTTAGCTTTGCCCATTGGATTCCCTTGTCTGCAGTGCAGCTACTGCTGTACTTAGAGACCTGCTCGGCCTCTGCAGCCACAGCCCTTGGCCGCGGTTTGCGGTGTGAGCTGGTTATCCACAGCCCTGGTTATCCGTAGCGCCGGTTATCCAC